TTGATACAACTTCAGTGCTGTATAGAATTATTTGATGGGATTATCAATATCCAAGCTTGGGTGTTTTATCCAAAGATTTCTTTTTTTTACATACATTGTGAAGCTTTTAAAAAGAAGATAAAAAGTAAAGATAAAAACTAAAGATAAAGACTTCTGTAAAGCCTTTGATTCAGTGGTACATGACAAACTACTCCTAAAACTAAAATCTTATGATATCTCTGGACAACTGCATAACTGGATAGAAGCATTCCTGTCAAACAGACAACAAATGGTCAAAATTGGGAGCATCCTATCAAATTCTGTACCTGTCAACAGTGGTGTCCCCCAAGGCAGCGTTCTAGGACCAACTCTCTTCATACTCTACATAAATGACCTCTGTGATCATATCAAGAGCAACTGCGTTTTCTTTGCTGATGATGTAAAGCTGTTCAATACCATAGACAATACTGCTACCCTTCAAAAAGATCTCGACTATGTATCAGAATGGTCAAACAAATGGCAATTTCAAAACTAAACAAATAAATGCTCTGTCTTACATATTAGCAAAAAAATCAGAAAATAAAATACAGGCTGAATAGTCAAGACCTTGTTGATGATCCAAGCTCTGTAAAGGACCTTGGAATACTCATCTCTAATTATCTAAGTGCTAGAGCCCACTGTAACTACATAGCCAAAAAGGCATCAAGACTTGTTAACCTAATCCTACGTGGCTTTTTCTTTGGTAATATCACGCTACTAACTAGAGCATACAAAACATTTGCTAGACCAATACTTGAATACAGCTCATCAGTCTGGAAACCACATTACGTATCTGATATTAGCACAGTTGAGAAAGTCCAGAAATATTTCACAAGAAGAGTTTGCCACTCCTCTACTTGTTGTAGAATACCTTACACCACCAGATTTGAAATTCTAGACCTAGAAAACCTTGAATTATGCCGTCTTCGGTCTGATTTAAGTATGGTATATAAAATCATACATTGCAATGACTAACCTGTCAATGAATACTTCAGCTTCAACCATAACAACATAAGAGCACACAATAGATACACACTCAAGGTTAACTGCACCAAACTTGATTGCAGGAAATACGACTTAAGCAACAGAGTGGTCAATGTCTGGAATACTCTACCTGACTCTGTGGTTTCTTCCCCAAACCCCAAAAACTTTAGACTGTCTGCTATTGAACTCACCCCTTTCCTAAGAGGTCTGTAGGGGGCGTGCATAAGCGCACCAATGTGCCCACCATCCCTATCGTTTCTTTTATTTTTCTTATGTGTACCCATTTCATGTATTAATAACTATGTATATACTTATACCTATTATCTTGTAAACGATCGACAAATCAAAATAAGCAAAATTAAAAAATAACATAAAGGAAGGAAAAAAGAGAAGAAACAAAATTGAAGAAAAATAGGAAAGAAAGAAAAAAATACAAAGAACTGGTTTCTTATTTTCTTCACAGCAGTTATATTATAAACCCTCTTTCTAAAGCTATATCATAATACCCTTCTTTCTATAATCTATCCTATTTATTAATCATTTTTACCCAAAGATTTCTGTGTAAATTAAGAATATTGTGCCCCAAAACAATCTGTAAATTATTAAAGTGGTATTGTTGTTTTGTGTAAATTTGTTACATGCAATAATTATTACCTTGTGATTTGGGTTTACCAAAAACAAACCCCACTGCTTGAGTTTGAAAACTTGTCAAAGGCCATTGCATTTTAGTCCAATACAGTTTATTTAAAATATGTTCCATTAATTTCAGTGGACCATATTTCCAATTGCATTTCAAGTAAAATTATGACTTTAATTCCCCTATCCATCATAAGTCCATATTCCTAGTTTGCCATCATGCCTTTGAGAATTGGATCATTTTGGGGGGAAGATATACTGTTTGTGTGTACATAGAAAGTATATACATAATTAAAGATACATGTTATGGAAGAAAATCCATTTTATCATGTTGTGAATACTGTTCTTACTTGGTCCTGCATCTGTTACTAAAATCTATACACCTCAATAAGGCCAATATTTTGAAACAAATAAAATCTCCAGGTTTGCATCTCTGCTGTACATATCTGTTCTTTTATTTGCACTATTTATTTGGCTAGCTCCAGTTAGCTATGCTTGATTCCACAATTTCCTCACCTAGAGAATATTACCTAACCACTAGTTGCTTTTATGCAAACATGTTTCAAAGTCCTTGCTACAACAAACATTCCTAATCGTGGATAACCAGAGGTTCAATGCCTTCAATGACAAAGTCACCATGTTAATATTTCAGAAAAAAAAAAACTAAACTTCTAAGAGCACATCACAATATAAATTTTGTATTGACTGTACCAACTGTTCAGATTTCTATATATCATTAAAAGAATCTGGGTAGTTTGCAGAGGGGCCTGGAATTCTGTTAATGGCTCCTAATATCCAGTCTACAGATCTTTCTTTATTACTGCCCTTCATGTTGAGGCAGCTCTTAGTAATTTTGGCTTATCCCTGTATATTGGGACCACAATTCCCAAAGTTCCTAGCCAGCATAGCTAAAGGCTATATGTAAATAACCCTGCCCATGCCATGAAGCAGTTAGCAGAGCAGAGGTGTAATGTCTACTGTAATAGGAGCACACATACTTGCTTGTGCCACTGCAGTTTGCACCAAGTGAATTTTCTGAATATTCTTCAAGGGCAGCCTCACATATGGTGCATTATGGAAATCCAAATAGATGATGACCCCAAGAGCATGAGTGACAGTGAGAACTCTGCTCCGTATTTGTTCTGTGCACCTGAGACTGTGCTCTGCTGACATAAAGGTATAAATAATTCTCTCTGGATCTAGAGACTGACTAGATCTGATGCCATGCAAACACAACTGTTCATGATGCAAATAAAATGGAAAGCATCAAAATGAGATAAAAATGCAGCTGAGCATTAGCAGTATCAGACACGCCATCATATCTAGTGGTTTCGGTTGAAAGTGCTTCAGAGAAAGACATTTACTGCCCTCTTGTGACCAGTTCATAATCCTGGTTGTATTGAGAGCATTTTATGATCTCTGGCAGTTGTGTTTTTTACTTTGGTTTTATTTTAGCAACTTATGCATTTTTATTTAATTTAAAGTTGTGTGCTGCCCAACTTGAGTTGGGTGGCCATTTAATCAAATAATAGGAGGCTGTGTGTTTCTTGAGAAAAGGAAACCCTTGAAAAGACTCGGGAGACTGCATTTCTCCCTATTTCAAATGGATCTGTATTGCCTCTTATTCTGATACAAAGCATTCTATGAGTTGAAGAACATAGAAATATTAAGAATTTTGTATGGCCTAATATGCTTGAATAGCTGTTGCTGTGTTGATGTTGGCAGCCTGCACAATTAAACTCCTGGAATATGGATTTTTGGACCATTTTTAGATAGATAACTGGGTGGCAAGAACAAGTTCCAATACTTTGGTCTGCTTTGAACATGTGCAGGTTTGTTGTAGAAATCAATGAACCGGAGGAGCAAAAGACCTTTTCTCACCTAACAGCTTTTATAAGTGTTGATTTCAGTTTTATAAAAACAAACAGAAAAAAATGGAAGGCTGGTTTGTTGATCCACCACCAGTGGTGAAGGACAATCATAAACTGAAGTAATATTTTGCTGAATCCACTGGGTGGGTAAAGCCATTTAAAATCAATTCTGCTTATTTGTCTTTGAAATTAGTGAGAAGTCAGCCATAACTTTTCAGAGTTATTTCAGTGGGACTCGGAATAAACCAGTTGTCAGGATGGAATCCAGTGTTCTTCCTTTTCTTGTATTTACTGTATATACAGTAGTTTTGACAGGAGTGCAATTTCATTACTATTTATCCAAGTGGTGAGGATTTGTGGTTCTTCGGATGAAACAACAGCTTCTGATTTCAGCTGATGTGCATGCAATTCATACATAGATTAACATTGTGTCCAAATACGGACCCATTAGGGCATTACTATTTTGGATCATTCACCTTGCTGTCCTCTTCTTCATCTCATGCTTAGTAATGTCCTAAGCATTAGATGCACAAGAGAACAGCAAGGGGATTGAACCAAAATACCATTTTCTTATATGGATTTTTGTAAGTGTTTGTGTAACTCACTTGGCAATTTGTAAAAAGTCACTACTCCCATCAAGCAAGGGTTCTTTAATTGAGGTTCAGTTAAAGTATGTATATATGATTCAGAATCTAGAGCCACCATTCTGGATTGCTTTAATTTGCGACAATATATAGTACACAAGTCCCAGCTGGTGGTCATTTAGTATTCAAATGAAATGGTAAGCCTGATGCCTTCATTAATGAGCCATGCATAGCAGAAATAAGGGTTCACACTCTTCTGCCATTCTTGGATTGACTGTAATCTGATTTTTGAAAAGGTGACTGTTAACTAAATGAACCAGCATGACACCATGAGCTGATCAGAGTTGCTAATTGTTGCTGACTGATTTACACGAATCTCGTCACTGACTGCATTCTTTAGAGAACAGCCTGATAAGAGTTTCATGAATGGGACTCAGGTAGGTCTACATTGCTCCTTACCCTGCAATGATGCTAAACTCACCAGTCTCTTCACTCTGCCACCTATTTTAGCTGGAGATTCTACCACACCACCAGAGAACATACAAGCTGGACATCCCAAGACAAAATGATTGTACAAGATACAGTCTTGTACAGGGAAAGGCTAGATGACTGTGGCCAGAGTTGGGACCATTATTAGATAAGAATATTAAATTACTAAAGACCATCTACTTAGTGAGATTTTAGATGAGTTGGGTCAGAATTGGAACTTCAAAATATGGGAGGGAGAGATGTGTGATGGTAATGGAGTAAGCTAAAAGTGTGCCCCCCCCCCAATTCTGACCAAAGCGTTACATGAACATAGTCATTGTCTTTTTAGTGGCAACACTCTTATATCTATTCAGTAGAGTCCTTTTTTCCCCTCTTTCCAAGGAATAAGTGAAACCAACACATAGGGCAGGAAGTTTAAATCAATTTCTACTTATTTTATTTTTTTCTTGTACAATAATAAAGAAATACTTTAAAAAAAAAGAAACAAACTCGGGATATAACTGTTTGTTCTGATTTTCAAGCATACACATATGTATGCAAAGTATTCTACACTGAAAACAAATGCTCACACAAGATGGCATATAGCATAACAAACTGATGTAAATAAAAAAAGTATTAAAGTGTTAGCACATAAATGAATGTAGTGTATTAGGAAAACAGAAATACTGGTTTTACCATCCATTTCCATTCCCAAAAGTAAGCATTTAATTTCTCCAACTCTTAAAAAAAAACCATTGGCTTCTCCAATGCTTTATTTTCAATTAATTTAATGTCTAATATAGCAGTTTTTAAACATCTGCCTTCAAAGAACTCTTTTGCCCTTAGCATAGTAATTCCTTCCAGTGGTTTAAAGGGATAATTTTCAAGTGCACACAAGGCACTGTCCAGCCCTGTTGGATCTCACTTTTCCCTTTCATGAACTTAAAACAAATTCCACAATACAATCCCTATTGCAAAAGGAAAAGTTTTCTTAATCTATCTATTCCATTTCTGTACCACCATTTTGCCAGAGGGTTCATGATAGCATATAGCACTTTATTCCTTTATTCTCATAATCACCCTGTGGCATAGGACAGTTAACAAACAGAACATGGCTAGATGCTCAGAATACATCATCAAGGAGTGTGAACAAGTATCTGGGTCTCCTGAGTCTTAGTTCAGGAATAAACACTAGACACCATGCTCATTGCACATCAGCAGGGCAAATTCATTTCAATGAAAGTTAATTTGAATTTGTATTGGAATTCTTAACCTACTTCTAAAAAAAATCTCAGAATTTTCTAGAACTCAGTTTGAAAAACAATGGCCTCAAAACTTCCCCTCACTCAATATTAAAAACTGTTATCCATATTCCATAACTTCTATACGGTCAGCACTGGAGTGAGCCTTTCCCTAACTTAAAATCCTTGAATGGCCGCATGATTGCTCCACTGCTATATGTTTTTATTGCTGGCAAAAGTGTAAAAAATAAAGTAATTAAATACCACAAATCATAGTCTTACACTGAAATTTTACGAAAAACCATTATATCAGTAAGAAATCATTGTGGGTAAAGCAACCCTTAAAAATTAAAACAGGACTTTGCGACATAAAATTGACTTATTCATTCATTTCTCTCATTTTTGTGATTACTGGGATCTCCCCCTACCTCCAACCTCTACTATTAGATGCTTCACTCCTCAAAAATAATAGTTCTGACAGTTTAAAACAAAACAACATTGGCTTTGTTCTAATGCTGCATGATGCCTTCATATGTTAACCTAGTTGCTCAATTTAACTGTCTTATATAATAGTTCTAAACCAGCCTTGGATCTGCTACTCCCTGAATTTCAATTGGTCCTATGGGACTGAATTATGGAAATCAAATCCCAAAAGACTTGCAGGGCTCTAAACTTGTCAGTCAAAGTATCTATGCACCCCTATTCAGAAATTATTCCCCTTGAGTTTCTACTCAGGGCTAGGAAATTCTGCTGAGAGCTGTAAATGTAAGTAAGGCATACTGCTAGTTCCAATGCAGCTTCCCCTCACCCCAGTAGAATGGTTCAGCATTATTTCTATTTAATATATCTGGTCTCCAAAAACCCACTAGGTACAAAATATAAATAAAATGGTAGTTCTTTTGTTGGCAGCTAGTCTTCTAAGATTTTTCTAGCGGGCAGCTAGATTTTTCAAACCTTGTTCTGGTGGCTCTAGGTTTATAGCATTTACCTTCATCATGGTGAGGAATATGGATAAAAGTATTATTTTCTCATATGTATTCCCTATTCACTTATTTATGTACTTCAATTCCAGAGTTATCACAGGTATGGCAATAACAAGCATCCCCAGTGATTTCTTTGAAGAAGGAAATATGCACAGAATTCCTTCTGCTTCTTATAAAAATTATAGGCTTACCAGATTTAGATTGCAAAAATTTAGATGTGGATCATTGAATGGTAGCCAGATGTGGTGTTTTCTATATCTCCTGCTACCATTTAATGGTCATTTGGATTTTTGCAGTTTGCTACAATTCTCTACAGTAATGTGTTTCAAACTGTGGAAACCCCAGGGTTCCATGAAGATGTAATGGAGTTCTTTCTGTATAAAAGACTGGGGTTAATCCCCGTCCATTGAAATACTCAAATAAAGCCATTTTTTAAAATTACTAGTGCCACTTAACTTTTTTCTGCGGGTTCTGAGTTTTTTTAATTAATAGGATCTGAGCCAGAAAAGGTTTGAAATTTCTGCTCTAATGCTTGAATTTTACTTCTCTACCCATCTTTGGTGCCATATAGGACTAAGACAATATTCTCCTTTCTGCTCCTAACTCTCGCCTAGATCCAGCTGGAGCCTGGATGAAGTTTAGTTCCTTCTCTAAGTCACTTTCATTTTAAGTTGAAGTCATTCCGATTGATGCAGACTAATTCGGGAAAGTCAAATCAAAAGAGGTAAATCATACCACTTGCACAATTTGCAAGAGCTCCTTTGGTGGGATGTTTTTGGTTGTACAAAATGGAACATGATGTTGCTACAAATATGTGGGAAATGTCACTTCAAATATTAATGTACACTATTGGATCTGATCCTTTTTTAGAATAAGTGAGCTACCTTCAATTGAACCCTATTGCTAGCTAGAAGCCCCGTCTGTCACAGCAAATATTACTATGTATGTCTTAAATCTGTAAATCTGCAGAAGTCCGAAAATTGCCAAGCAGTCTGATGCTGAGTGAACAAGAGATCTATGGCAGTGTTTCTGCAGCTTCTTGATGAGCACAAAAGCACTGGCCATACAACAAAGTAAGATTTTGATCTGCCTTTAATAAGTCCTGTTTTTCTAAGCAGGTAAGAAAAAAAAATCAAAAAAGAAGAAAGTTGTTCACATAACTAAAATAGTAAACATCATAGGAGTGTCTGGTTTTCATATCATGGCTGATAATCTTTAAATAGTGAAAACATGCAATAACATTGCTTAAAGACAGATTTCTTGCTCTTTTAACGATTAATCCTATATGTTAAGTGAGCAAGTAAAATGAAAAAAGAAGAAATGAAAATAAAATAAAAGGGAAAGAATGCCCATTGATGGAAAATATTTTCTAGTAGGTGCAAGAATCTGCTAAAACAAACTAATCTACTTACTTATGTCTGCCTTCCCATCCCTGCCCTTATAAAACAAACACAAAATATTTTCTGGGTCAAATATTAAAACTTCACAAATATTGGATTTTGTTTTTTAATCACTCACGATTAAAATATTGTGAAAAGGAAACTATCCTGGTGCATTCAAAACAAAGACTTTCAAGTAACAATCCTCCCACAAAGTAGTGTTCACCAATATTTAATCGATCCACTGAGGTAATCCCCAGAATTGACTTTGTAATACTGCAGCATTGCTATCTGCATTCTCTCCTTAGCCACTCTACAACCTATCTTATTGACTTCAAACTATTTCACCTGCCTTTTTCCTTCACTAAGTTGGAAAATAAGGGCCATAGACTGCCCAGTTCCGTAATACAATGATGACTCTTTTATTGGTACGCTTGAAGCCTAGCACTGTGCTTTACCTCTTTGTTTGGTTTGCATATCACTGATTAAGAGGCTTGTATTAATTATAATGCCTTCCATAAAAAGATATGTTTTCAATATAAAAAAGCTTAATGTTCATAGATTATAAATAAAAACAATTTAAAATACTTAATCTTAGGACGTCATTTGCATTTCAGGCAAAGTGAGTATTTGAAATCCTTGATGCATTCTCAGTCCCAGATATCAACTATTTAATAATCTTTATATGAATAAAGCTAGGAATACACCAACAATATTTTTTTGTCTCATAGGCCAGAATTAAGAGGCAAATGGCTAAGAAGTTAAACACTTTTGCTACACTGAGAAAAAGATGTTGGCTTTCACCTAACTGATAAAAGTGAAGATATTATTTCTAGCTTGTAAAATCTGATCCACAAAATGTATTATTACTAAAAAGAAAAAAAGATAATGTGGTTCTATAAAATTGTTATTGTATTCAATAATGTGAGTTTTTCTCCAGAATTTGGAAATTCAATTTTTTTTTGGTTTGTGTATAACACAACAAAAAATTATTGTTTTTATGATTCATCTTAAAATAGTTTTTAAAACAGCTACATATAAAGTATACTTCTTTAAAATGAAATTAAAAAAGAATGTAACATATATTGCATTTTTTTCATTTTCTATATAGTTTAAAAATGGCAGCAATTAGTATCAACCTGGTTGATTTTATAATGCAGTGGTAGTGTAAAAACAACAGCTAAACTTTTGCTTACTAGAAACCAAATAGCAACTGAAAAAAGTCCCAACAGTAAAGTTTGTGCTTTGCAAGTTTTTAAAAAGTTGCTCTCTGGTTGACTTGGAATTTAAAAGAAAAAAGCTGTATTCCCTACAATGTGAGTTTATTTAAAATAATGATGATTTTTAAAGCTCTTGTAAATAACAAGCATTTGGTGCAATTAAATATAATCACAGAGCTGTATTTGAATGTGTGCTAGGTTTTCAAAACCAAGCTAACTTTTGCAGTCTAAAACTTCTTACAGTCATCTCTCTGTCTTTCATTTCCTTAATTATACACTTAACTGTGTGTAACTGATGACCGTTCAGTTCAGACATGGTGCAAAAAAAACCCACCCCACCCCTTTGTGTCCTCAAAACACATCTAGGAAAAACTTACATTTAATATCTTTAAGCAATTCTATTCCTTAAAACTAGGGATGTATATATTGTATGCGTGTACATTTCAAATGTAAGTTATTGTCAATGACATCCTGATCAAGATTCATTGACCTAAAAAGGGGCTGGAAAAGTCAGCAAAGGATTAGGCTGGTTAGCTGAGGGACTTGAGGAGGCTTGGCCTTAAATTCTAGAAGGAAAGGAAATGTTGGGTTATCAGTTACAACCAGGTAAGAAAAGGTTCATTTTTGTTGAGGACTGATTCCACATCACTAAGGATGGGAATCAGGTCTTCGGACTCTAATGTCCCAAGGTCAACGTTTGTTCCTGGAAGACAGTCAAGGAAGTCAGGGAAGCGTGTCTGTTGGGAGTTGATATTCATGGAAGTCTGTGCTACATTATCTCCTGCAAAATAAAGAAGAAGTGAATTGAGTCATACCATCTAAGACCATGGGTTACTTTCTAACAACTACTTAACAAAACAAATAAAACATCTCATTTAAGTACAATATAGTTCTAAATTATCACGTTTCCACACACAATTTAATATGCATCTTATATATTCAACTTCATATCTTATTACTGTTTTCCACCTTCTTACTGTTTCTTCCTTTATTTCTGTTCAATTTTATTCATTAGACTTATACTTTCATATATTTCATATTACTATATTTCATATTATTACTATTTCATATGTTCTTATCCAACATCATTACTCCTCAATAGACAAACATAGACTAACAAAACACATAACATAAAAACATAAAACTTCTTTTTAGAAAGCGGCTTAACCCCGGGTTATAACTTTTTGTACAGACGTAAATCAAATTCATGCTCAGCTTATATACTATTTCATATCTTATTTAAAATTCTACATTTTGCATATATCTTCTCCCCAAGTAGTTGTTAGAAAGGATGTCTTATGTTCTTATGTCTTATGTTTTGTTTGTGTATTCTCTTTGAAAATTAATAAAATTTGTTTTAAAAAAATAAATAAATAAAACCATGGGTTACTTGACCCAAACTTCAGCTACACCTGTCTAGATTTCAATCCAGAACAGAAAGCTAAGGGTTTTATGAAAAACTAACAAAAATCCTAGCAGCAGACTTTTTCACTAAGGTACCTAGGAAATATGCCTTAACAGTGTACAACTTAAAATTTCATCAAGAAGGAAAGGAAGCAGAAGTGGTATTCAGCAGGTTCTGACCAGTTCTGGAGAACTGGTAGTAAAAATTTTGAGTAGTTCAGAGAACCGGCAAATACCATCTCTGACTGGAGATTTTACAGTCTCCTTCCCCTGCCACGCCCACCAAGCCATGCCCACAGAACTGGTAGTAAAAATTTTTGAATCCCACCACCGAAAGGAAGGGTAAAGGAACTCTATCAAGAAATCTAAAACAACTCCTTTGTTGGACAGCCACACTCAGATAGACACTTTTAGAAGGCTAAAAAGATTCAGGGGGCACAGTTTCAGTATAATGTAAGATTAAAATTGGAGGAAAATTGGAATGTACATAACTTGACAGCTAAAATCAGGATCTTCTTGGTTACATACTGAAACATATGCAATATCAGTCTTATTGGAAATGTTGGGGCTGCAGTTCTTGCGCAAATTGGAAGATGAAGTTTATTCAATAGCTGGGCAATTGAATATATAATTCAGACAAGTATAAAAGTATCATTGGCTGAGCCTATTGTTTATAATTTTGTCATGAAGAAAAACAGACTTCTTGTTCATACCTGTGTCCATCTCATCTACATTGCTGAGGAAGTCTTCAGGTGTAGTCGGTATGCTGTAACATCCTAAGCCTAGGCCACTGTCTGTGCTCTGCTCCCTGGAATGGTATGGCCCACTATGAATTGAGACATGAAAAGTCCGTGGTCAAGACTGTGCCCATCACATGTCTGTCCCCAGAATGGCCTACAAAATAAGAGTCTAATTGGCTAAACTATGGACTCTAAATAGATCTCAATGTACTCCAGTATTTTGTGACTTCCCCTATGACTGGTTGAACACATCTATCTATCACAAAATTTGGCAACTGGAAATCTCATTTTTCTTAAAATAAAATGGATACATTACAAGACATCGTATTATCATTTTAGATCTTCATGGCAATTTGGTAGCCAGTATAACTCAAAGCCCAAAGAAGGTAGACCTAGATCAAGGAATGGAACCACATCTCAATAACAGAGTCTATTCCTTACATGCAAGATCCACAGATCAATCTCTATATTAATTTTTTTTAAAAAAGCTTTATAATGAGGTATTGATGTACTAAACAAAGTTTCCTAGCCTTATCATAGGCTCCAATTTTTTATCTTCCAGTCTACTGATCCAACTACCTACAGTACCCAACCCTGCTCTCTTCCTCATCTCATCCTCTCTTTCTCACTGGTAGCTTTTGCATGGGCAAGCAATGTTGACTTGCATCTTTCATCTACATTTGCTTACACTTCATCTTCTTGGCACCTGCTACAATCATTATGCAGGATACATGATTCCCAATCACAATTTCAACTAAGGAGTGGCACCAGTGATTGTCATTCTTCTACAGTCAAATGATGCCAGTTGTTTAAAAAGCAAAAGGCAGTGTCAATCCAAATTTACAGTGACAGAGACAGCACTCCATGTGAAGAGATGCCATCTAGCAGGTGTTTTTCTTAATTATACATAGAATAATTAGGAAATTATCCTAATTTTCTTAATTAAACGTAATATACCAAATTTGTCTTCTCAGGCTAAATGTCAGTTTGGTATCCTATAGCCTTGCCTGCCTGTTCCCATATGAGAAATATCTTTGGCCAATTTTCTACACGTCACTGAAAATGCAAATACAGAGTAAGCAGATCACAATTGATCAGAATCAAAAAGGTTAAATGGCTATTCAATTAAAGCTTTTGTAACTCATAAGTAAAATTGCAACTAAAGGAATCTCTATTCATGTGCTTTAACAGGTAAGCAAAGGCCTTTATCATAGAACATAAAATGACTGGTGGGCAAACACGGTACTTGCCTGTTCAGAAAGGGATCTGATCCATTATTTGTAATAGATCTCATGTCCTGTGTCATGTTAGGTGTGCTCACAGCAGTATGAACAGGGGCAAGGTTCTCAGATTCCATGGGAAGTTGTCTGTACAAATCAGCTTCCTAAATTTAAAAAAGAACACATATTGTCAGTGTTGGTGCATGGACAGCCAAAAATGCAAATTACTGGAGCTCATTTGAGTCATTCACAAACACACACAATCTATCTATCTATCTATCTATCTATCTATCTATCTATCTATCTATC